GCCTTATCTGGCATTACTGTATTAGCTGTCTTCTCACACAAGCTTAGGTACCGGTAGTTATCGTGACATGGCTAAATGATGCATGGTATCACTACCTACTATACAAGCAAGACATTTGGGGAAAGGATCCATTGGTTCTGAGAAGATTACTATACTTGATCCGAGACCGGTGGTCTCGACTACCTATTTAAACCCTTGCCCACAATGTCACTAACCACGATATCGGGCAATTTCTTTGAGAGACAACCTCAACAAGCGGTATAAAAAGCCAGAACGTACTCATTCGTACTGAGCCTCTAATCTCAGAGGTAGTTAGGTAGGTAGTGTGCGTTTGATCACACAAACGTGACCATCTCAATCTTGGCTCTTACAACCCCAACAAGGACATTGCCCCTCTTTGATTCGAACACACATATTATCTCGCTCTGTTCTGTTCACTCTATTTCTCGTCAACAATCACCAGTGCGGCATCGGATCTGCGGTGACTCCCAGATCAATCTGCGCCCTAGAGCTCCCAGTCACGGTTTACCCGCCACGGGAATAAGCGAGACCAAACAGCGGCGAAGTGATAGCGATTCGACGGGATCTTAGTATATGATCTCCCAACTAGCTCAAAAGGTTAGTGGTGAGTGAGTAGCTTATCTGGCCAGACAACAGAGTAACTTTCGCTTCACAATCAGTCTCTGGCTGTCCAGACTTGTAGGTCTTGGGCATTCTATTTTCTCTCCTCCCTCTTGCACGTACGTATGTACTTATGTTTTGAACGGCAGTTCTTTCAACTACCGTCTCAGAGGCTAGGACCCTTGTATCGTTCCGCATCAAAGCTCCACGCACGCCTCCACAGCTTCTGGCCAGCACAGAGACAGGATAGCACAGAATAGTGTACCTATTATTTCCTGGCGTCGAGATCTAATGCTAGCCCGTCGAAGTCCCGTGGCATCGGTCCGCTTCGGCCAGACGCTGCGATGCCAGCCGCCTTTAAAGTCTTCGAGGTTGGCTGCCAGCCCCGAGGTCAACGAGCCCGGTCAACGATGTGCGAGCACCTTGCGCCCCGCTACAGCTACTTCAGGTACGTTATTCCTGAGAACTTCTATGGAAGATTTCTCTGGGGTTTTCTTGATCGTCTCGTCCAATTGCGTGTTTTTGCTTTATATACATCTGCGCCCTAGTCTGCAGGGCCGGTCCGGTCTCAGTGAGACCGGAGCGAGATGCTCTTGGAAGATGATCTAGGAGTCAAGGCAAAGAAAGGCAGCCGAGAGATATGGCGCAAGACATTACGTTCGGTTGGATCTCTTAACTGTCGTTACCCCTGCACCTTGTTATCCAAGTTTTGTCTATTTCAACCTATTACGTTTTATCATGTCCTTTTTCAGCCGCCTCTTTTTTCTCTCTCTCTTTTGATGTGAGGGCGAGTGCCGAAGAGCGGTGTTTTATCCGAGATAGAGTCCGGCTGGTCTCGGGCCATTGAGTACCTGTTCTGCTGCCGCGTATATCTTTTTCTTTTGTTATCAACAGGTATTCGGAGTCTTCCGATAGCTTCGGGCAAAGTGCCCGGAGACCGGGAGAGGGAGGGTATCATGAATTTCAGTCATGGTCATGTGCAGCAACTAAAATCGGGCGCCAGTTGCGTCTGTACAGTAGGTATGAGTCTGTGCCCTCAGGCTTCCGGGGTCCCGGCTCCGGGCTTAGAATGAACCCCAATGTCCAATTTGGAGCACCCTTGCTTGTCTCCAGGTCATCCATCACCCACGCTCTCTCCACGCTCTCCCCCAAAGCGCCCCCGGATGTCGTCCGTTGATCGGATTGGGTTGAAGCCATTCATTCAATTTTGTCAACCTCGCCATGGACAATGCGCTCAAGTCATGCAATCACAAGCAAAATGCGCTGATTTTGAGGACCCCCATGATTTGATTTGATCTTACTTGAGGTGTTTATTTGTCTACAGCAGCACAATCTGCAACACATCCACTCCGGGTCTCCATCCGTCCCCAGACGTGGATTGCGCTACGGCCCAAGGTTACGATGGGCGATGGCGATGGCGATGGAGATGTGCGTGTGTGCGTGTGTGAGTGGGTGAGAGTGGATTAGTTACCTTAGTGAAGGGGTTTTGGTCTTTTCTTTTCTCTGCTTTGCTATGCTATGCTATGCTCTGCTTTTTATTACTAACAGTGCTTTTGTCTACAAGGGGATTTCTATTACCTAGACATTACTTCTGAGCCGAGTCTTTTTCTTGTCTTGTCGTCTTATATTTGTATCAGGGTCTATCCCCTCTTCCTGACTCAGTCGAGTTTCTTCCTTCTCTGATCTTTACCTTGTTCAAGATACCCTCTTACACAGACAATAGTGTTGTTCTGGTGTAATAGTCTCTCATTGTATGCTCCTCTCTCTCCTCCTCCTCATCTTCCTCTTCCTTTCTCTTACCAGGTATCTATCTCATCCTTGTCTGATACCTACCTCACCTCATCTCACTTCTCACCTTGCTCTCTCTCCCCTTGACGCAAAACTCAGGCCTGTAAAAGCACTGACAATTTGCTTGATTTGCTTTACAAACATTGCATGATTCAATTGCTAACTCGTTCGACTTTTTTTTGGTATCTACACAGATTATAAGATTGGCCCCCGTGCTTGCGCTTGGAGTAAATCTATTACTGCCACATCTACCCCGCGACCCTTACTCACCCCGCCAAAAAGTTCTGCTTCTACGACTACTACTCCCCACTACCATCGTCACCTTTATCCTTATACCTCGATTTCTTCTTCCTCTTCTTCTTCCTCTACCTCTACCTCATTCTTCTCTACTTATCCTGCCAAAATGAGATTGACTTCGGAGAACATCAACCAGCGAGTCGTCGCTGCCAAGTACGCCGTTCGTGGTGAACTTGCTGTCAAGTCCGAGGAATACCGAGCCAAGATCGCAAAGGGCGACACCGGCGATCTCCCCTTCAAACAGGTTATTTCTGCAAACATTGGCAACCCTCAGCAGCTCGACCAGAAGCCCATCACCTTCTTCCGCCAGGTCGCCAGTCTTCTCGAGAACCCTATACTTCTCCAGAACGAGGAGGCCCTCACCAAGCACTTTGGCTACCAGACCGATGTCATCGAGCGCGCCAAGTTCCTTCTGAGCAAGATCGGCTCCGTTGGTGCCTACAGTGCTAGCACCGGTGTTCCTGCGATCCGCGATAGCATCGCCCAGTTTATTGAGCGTGGGTTCTGCCGTCGCTTCTGTTTCTGCTGTGTTACTGACTTGTCTCAGGTCGCGATGGCTTCCCTGCAGATCCCGATCACATCTACCTGTCCGCCGGTGCCTCCTCCGGTGTCAACACCCTTCTCAATGTCATCTGCGCCTCCCCTAAGACCGGCATCCTTATTCCAATTCCTCAGTACCCTCTCTACACTGCTACTCTCTCCCTCTTGGACGCCACCGCTGTCCCTTACCTCCTGGACGAGCATAAGAACTGGGGTACCGACGTCGACACCATCCGTGCCTCATACGAAAAGGCCAAGGCTGACGGCATTGACGTTCGATGCATCGTCATTATCAACCCTGGTAACCCTACCGGTGCCTCTCTTCCCGAGGAGGATATTCGTGCTGTCCTTGAGTTCGCCAACAAGGAGAACCTAGTTGTTATGGCCGACGAGGTCTACCAGACAAACGTCTTTGTTGGCAAGTTCCACAGTTTCAAGGCTGTCCTCCGCACCCTTGAGAAGGAGAACCCTGGCAAGTTTGACGGCCTCGAGCTCGCCTCTCTTCACAGTGTTTCCAAGGGCATGGTTGGCGAGTGTGGTCACCGAGGAGGTTACTTCGAGCTTGTCAACTTCGATGCCGAGGTCGAGGCCAACATCTACAAGTTCATTTCCATCATGCTCTGCGCCCCTGTTATTGGTCAGTGCATCGTTGAGTTGATGGTTAACCCTCCCAAGCCGGGTGAGCCCTCACACGAGCTTTACAAGAAGGAGTACGATGGCATATTCACCGGTCTTCAAGAGCGTGCTACCGCCCTCCACAAGGCTTTCTCTCAGATGGAGGGAGTTGAGTGCGCCGAGCCCCAGGGTTCCATGTACCTCTTCCCCACCATCAACCTGCCCGAGAAGGCCGCCGAGGCTGCCAAGGCAGAGGGTCGAAGCCCAGATGAATTCTACTGCATGCGTCTCCTCGAGGCTACTGGTATCTGTGTCGTTCCCGGCTCAGGCTTTGGCCAGAAAGAGGGTACCCTGCATTTCAGAACAACCTTCCTTGCGCCTGGCACCGAGTGGGTTGGCAGTATCGTCAAGTTCCACAAGGAGTTCCTCGAGAAGTACCGATAAAGCATCAGTCGCAGTTGTGCAGTATTGTCATTGTGAGTCGAAGCCGGACTTGGAGCGGGGCTCCAGGGCTTCGGTGGTTCGGGGCCGAGGGTTCGGCACGGAGCGACGATGTGGCGTGCGAAGGAGAAAGAGATAGAAATTTAGGATTATCAAACAGGAAATAGTTTTGCATAGTTTAGCGCCTTGATAGGTATTGGATAGACAGAAGTTCACCAATTTAGCATTTTTGTTATATGTCAATATGGCGTGTCCCACCTCAAATCAACAAAGACTGTGAGCCTACCGGAACATAATAGAGAAATCCGGGGTAGACGTGTGCTGTTGATCTTTCGATTCTGACCCTTGCTTGCATGCGCAGGTACCAGAGGAGAAGACTGGGGTAGATCGATTCTTAAGCTGTATGCTTAACATCATATCATTCAAACACATGCAGCTAACTCCGCAGTGCAGTTGTCACCTCGGTGTGGAAGGGGCGTGATATCAGATCATCCCATTTTTCTGGCTCTCCTCACCGGGACCCAGCCAATCTAGACTATTACCGCAAATGGCTTGTCTACTCTATAACATATCATATCATACTGTACAGTCAAGGAAATAGGTAAAGGCATGGGCTTATTCTCTGTCTTTTCGCTTTATTCCCCCACTACGGCATGACAAAGTCAAGCACCAGCTTCCTCATCTATAAATCGCCCCATTTATGCCCTCTCACTACCCCTCAGTCGCACAGCCTGGCCGTACTTTTGTAGTTTTGTGATGAGCTGATCACCCTGTCGCACAACATCCTGATACTGCTTGTTCTTGTCATCGGGGCGGTTTGTCTCGATCACACCCTTGCCTGTCACGCGATCGATGGTGCAGGGGATACGCCCAGCAGCGATGAAGCGGGCGAGGTCACTAGTAGAGAATCAGTCAGGTTGTGACATTCATGACATTGCGTAACGTGTGACATACCGATCGAGGAAGTCAACAGTGACTCCGAAGTCATTGGCCATGCTCTCCAGGCCAACAACTCTGTAGCTTTGAAGAAGCTGCTGATAGGCGCGAAGTCGCATCTCCCGAATAAACCAGTTCTTGTGCTCATGAAGATAGCGGTCCTGGTTTAGGAACTGCTCCTCGACCTCGGCGAGAGACTTGAAGAAGGTCTTATAGTTTCCGCTGTACAGACTGCTAACGAGCAGCGCTAGAGGGCTAAAGTCAATGGCCATCTCGGCTTCAGGTTGCTCCGTACTGGTGCCCAACGTGGTCAGGTTGACAGCAGCGGTGGCCGTCTTAGGAGCCTTCGCACCGGTAGTGTCATCGGCACCAGGGCCAGCACTGAGAGCACCACTGAGAGCAAGAAGCTTGTCCTCGCCGTCACCCAGGATAGCCTTGATTTCAGGTGCGTCTACAACCTTTGACTTGAAATCGACTCGCTTGAGAGACACTGAACCAGCCAGAACGGAGTAAACAACGAGGTTGGAATAGGTGCAGAGTTCGTAACTGGTGAACGTAGAGAGAGAGTCGAGCAGTAAAGGCGCAGCGAGGTTGTAGGAGCGAAGTGTGAGTAGGTGCAGACCCTCGTAGGCCTTGAGACGGTTGCGGCGGTCCCAGTCACCGCCTGATTCGACAAGTGTCTTCGCACGTTCGACGTGCTTCTTGACAAGAGGCTTGTCGCCATAGAAGAGACCCATGCGTATTATGGCGAGGACGACGTCGATCTTGGTACCGAGGATTCCCGTCTTTTCGGAGAGGCTCTCGTAGGCGGCAATGGCCTTGTCCTTGGTGGGTGTTAGCAGGCGAAGTCAATTTTGCTGCTGGGGCCCGAGTTTCTGTGTGAGAACATACCTTATCTCCCACACGAGCCCAGAACTCAGCTCGCTTCCCCTGAGCAGCCATGACCTCGGTATCACCAGCTTGCTCAACGGCATCATCCTCCTCTTTCTGGAACTCTTGCAGCTCCCGATCATTATCTTCCTTCAACTGGTTATAGAGGCCCTCGTCCCAGGGCAGACTGACGATGGTAGCGGCAGGCTTAGTAGCAATCATTCCAACAAGACTGGACTTTCTGCTGAGAGGTCGCCCGGGAGCAGAAGAGCCGCCCTCGCCAAGAGTGTTGAGGACGCCGTCGAGTGGGTGGGCAAGATATCGGTAGAAAGGAGCCATCTTATCCTGTGCGATAGCATCTTGGAGAGCCTTTACAGCAGCTTGTTGCGCGATTTTAGTGGCATAACCGTTTGTGAGGGTGAAAACGTGCTGCGACAGAGGCAGCAATGGCCACTTCACGTACTGGGGGTCGGAACCCATGATGGAGGCGGTCGCTGTCGTCGAGAGTTTGTGATTGTTTTAAGCGCAGAGTGCGATATCGGTAGTTGCCCGGAGAAATCGAAGACGATGGCGTTGTTCGCTGTTGAGCGTTGTTGTTGATGTTGATGTTGATGTTGTGGTTTGGCGGATGGATGACGAGTGAAGCTCAGAGATAGGTCGGTAGAGCTTGGTGTTGAGCAGATACAGCAATCCAATGACAATTGGATCCATTGGATGGCGAGGCGACAGTGGGGGTCTTCTAGGCGGCTTTGTGCTGCAAGGCTCCAGCGGGACACGCACTGATGGACTGGTACGTACCCCGAGCACTCAGCTCAACTTTTACCAAGCTCACACCAGCGAGCGAAGGAATTGGTAAAGAATGAGATGCACAGTGAATCATTCTCAGGTCGTGCTTCAGCCTCGCCTGATGCTTGGTAGCCCATGGAATATCATAATACCGTAAAGGGCTCAATAGTTCCTCAATGCTGTGATATATCTGGCAGTGCTTAGTATGTAGTATTTGTCTGAAAGATAGGTATCTACACAACACTGCCAAGATATTTTCCTTTTTTCCATTGACTTAACCTAGTATGACTAACGGGTCATCAGACTGCGTTAAATGTAACAAGTGAATGGCTTTCTCTATAGACACAGAGTACTTGAGTCATCGTTCCATTGAGTTGCAACAGCAGAAAACCAACAGGTGCAGGGTAGGCTGATGCAACTGGACCGCATATGGGGGGCCGAGCGCCCTTACATCAGTGCAACGCTGAGATTAGATACAGAACTTGCATCATGTTCCATTGTCCTTTCCTTTCAATAACTTTAACATCCAACTTCGCATCTACCATTGCAACATCAATCGACATATATTCCACGAAAAGAACGAGAGAGGCTGTCAGAAATGGGCAGAGACTCTGATCGCGACGACGGCGACGAGCGAAACCACCGCAAACGTCCTGCCAACGACGAACCTCAAGATGACCTACCCCAACCATACAACGCCAAGTCACTTCAGCCAGCAAAGCGGCGCGCCCTCTCGCCATCAGAACAGCCTCGAAAGCTGAAGCGCCCCGGTGCGCGCGCGCGTATATCAGAGGCCGAGCGTGAAGCCATTCGACAGCGTCAGCTCGAACGAGAACGCGAAGCCGCTGCTGAGGAAGCCGCCGAAGCTGAACAGGAGAGGATCCAAAACAACAGTGATCTTGTGCGGCACCACTACAACAACGTACCAGAGCGTGGTCGCGACTGGAGAACAAGGGACAGCAAGATCAAGGGACTTCGTGTTTTCAACAATTGGATCAAGAGCTGCATCATCCAGCGTTATTCACCCGATGAAGACCATACCCCTGGTTCGCGCGAAGCTGGACGCTCCAGTGGCAAGGACTTACTTGTACTGGACATGGGATGTGGAAAGGGCGGCGATCTGAACAAGTGGCAGCAGGCTCCTCAGCCAATTCAGCTTTATGTTGGGCTCGATCCTGCTGACGTGAGTATTGAGCAAGCTCGCGACCGCTACCGTACACTTGGCAGCCGTGGCGGGCGAGGCGGGCGAGGCGGACACCGACGACCGCCACCGCGCTTATTCGACGCTCGCTTCCATGTTAAAGATTGCTTCGGCGAGTCCATCGAGGACCTCGACATCATCCAACAAGTCGGCTTCGACCCTTCGCCCATGAATCGCCGAGGTTTCGACGTTGTCAGCATGATGTTCTCTATGCACTATGCTTTCGAGTCGGAAAAGAACGCGCGCAACATGCTCCGCAACGTCGCCGGAGCACTCAAGAAAGGAGGACGTTTCATCGGCTGCATCCCTAATTCTGATGTTCTGGGTGAGCGAGTCCGCAAATTCAACGAGGAGGCCGCAGCCAAGCGTGCAGCCAAGCAAAGCGAAGAAAAGGACGGCGATGGCTCGACAACACCGCAACAAACAGAGCCAGAGGATGGCGAGCTGGAAGAGGGCGAGGAGGAGCCCACCGCCGAATGGGGTAACTCGATTTACCGTGTGCGCTTCCCGGGAAAAACACCTGATGATGGTGTCTTTCGACCTGCCTTTGGCTGGAAATATAACTTCTTTCTAGACGAAGCTGTGGAGGAGGTGCCTGAGTATGTCGTACCCTGGGAGGCCTTCCGTGCTCTCGCCGAGGACTACAACCTCGAGTTGCAGTTTCACCGCACTTTTCCTGAAATCTGGGAGGCGGAGAAGGATGACCGCGAGCTTGGTCCCCTGAGCGAGCGTATGGGCGTACGGGAGCGTGGTGGAGGTCCTCTTCTGGTATCTGACGAGGAGATGGAAGCTGCTAGTTTCTACGTCGGGTTCTGCTTCTACAAGGTCTAATCATTTCTGTACCGGCATAAGACATTGGGGGTGGTATCCTGGGCTTGGTGTTAAGGAGTTTGGCTCATATACAGGAGAAACGACGCCACGATCACCTGGGCAAGTGGATCAAAATAAGAAAAGATGATGTTTGTTGATTATATATCTATGTGATAAAAATGTGTTTTCGATGGAGTTGGGTATCATGTTTCTTTCCGAATAGTGAGGTTCAACTCCTTCCTATGCAATACCTGTTCTCTTCCCAAGTAACGAACTCCTCCTCAAAACTTGCCGAAGTCCGGTCATCTACTCAACTGTAACACTGATCAAAGAGCATTCGTTGCCCGTCGCCATATCGTCAAAGCGGCAACTCCTGCGCAGGCCGTGGCGCCTAATGCAATATACAAACTGGTCCGATCAGGTCCCTCCTCATTGCTCCTGGGGAAAGCCGTACTGGGATTTGTAGCAGCATCTGCAAAACCTACAAAAAGCTCACTGATGCTACCCCAGGTGACACTCACATGTAACGGCAGGCTCATGTTGAGTGAGGCAGTATACTGATCCGGCTGAAGCTCACAGCGTTGGTTTGTCTTGTCTTTATCGGCCTTCAGAGCAGTATAAATCGAAGGGAGCTCATCAAGGTGCGCGTATTTGCTCCGCAGATCAACGATATGCGAGAACGAGTCGGGGTCAGACGAGTCATAGGCGTAGCAAATAAGATCGCAAGCATCTAACTTGGCCGGGTTCTCAAGGATTGCAGGCTCCAGCTCTCCAAGCTCTTCCAGAATGAGGTACACTTGCTTTCCGCCGGGCAGCTCGACACTGTTGACAGCGCGGCGTGGCTTGATGGTCGGATGATAAAGACCATCAAACGGGCGGTTGAGGAATGAGTCGAGGAGAGCGGATTTGCCTGCTCCTGATGCACCAAGAACGTAGCAGAGGACCACGTTACGCTCAACCCGACCAGGACGTCTTCTTCTCTTACGAGGCTTGGTTATCTTGAGTGCCGCGGTGATGGGTTCTTTGGGATTCGGAGGCTCAAACCCCAGATACGCAAGATATTCAATAGTTGTCTTGGGTTCGATAAATGTTGTCATACTCCACTGAGCCAGCCAGCCCTGCAAAGTGACGTGCCCAGCTTCATTCCTTACAGTCGAGGAGGGGAACGACGAGTCGGTCCACGAACTGGGAAGGCCTGGAGCTGGGGCAAACAGAGCCTCGAGTTCTTGATCATTGAGACCACCATCATTGTCCTTGTCAAATAGCAAGAAGAGATCCACAAAGAATCTATAGCCGGCAGGACTCAACTCGGCCGACGAGTACTCTGGAACATCGAACTTGGGTCTAATAAATTTATCCTCGAGACTGAGACTATCGGTATAATGATATTTTCGAAGGATAATCCAGATAGTCTCATGGCGACCCTTCTCAGCATAAAGCTTGTTTAATTGTAGGAATCCCGGCAGGTCAATGCCCTTTTCTAACTCGGATGTGGGCAACGATTTCGAGATACTGAGTTTGATATTGTCTAGATCGTCCGCTGTCAGAGGTTTATCGAAACAACGTGCTTGGAAGTCTCTCATTTCTTGTTCATTGAGATATCCGTCCTGATCTTTGTCGCAAAGATAGAATATGCGCCTCAGAGCATCAACGCATAGAGGCTTGAGATGCCCCTCCTTGTAGTCAAATAGAGGGGCAATTGGATGAGTTACGGCCTTTTGACAAAGGAAGAAGACTTCATTTACGTTTCGATGGTCTCGAGCGCTGGTGCGGATGCAGGAATCGATTTCGCGAAACTCGGCCATCACAGGTAACAATTCCTCCTCGACTACCTGAGGGGTGGTGCCTTGACCAGCCAGATCGGATTTGTTGGCACATAATACGACGGGGACGTTGACGCCGAGGGATCGGAAGTATGGCATCCAGAACAGTGCTACTCTTTCGTAGCTGTAATGATCGGCATAGACGAGAAGGATGACATTGCACTTTCGGATCTCTTTGCGCAAAGTAGTTCGGTCTTGCGGGCGAGCTGAGGTATCGACGATCGTTGTTGAGACATTCTCGGGAGTACCAATACTAGGAGGGATAGTGATTTGAGGAAGGACGGGCTGGATTTTGTTGTTGACAAATTGATCTTTTACGAGAGAAGCGATGAGGCTCGATTTGCCGGTGCTTTCATCACCGCAGACGCAGATGCGCACTGCGCAAGGGAGGTTAGTCATTTGAGCAAGAAGTTGTTGTTGGATTGAAGAGCTCGCAGTGGAGTTGGAGCCAAGTTAGTTGGAGGATGTTCGTACCGGCGGCGGCCATGATGGAGCTATTATCGGAGTCTTTGGTGAAAGTACTGGTATGTCGTCATTAAGGTTCCATGCCCAAGAGGGAACGGGACGGGGACGGTGGTCTGCTGATATCGTGGGTTTGGAGGTCGATCGTGGGGAATGAATGAATCGTAGCGGCGGCAACAGCGCAGGTGACAGCAGTTGAATTGGTCAAATTGGAGGATATGGCGATTATTTCGAGAGCCTCAGGGGGTAACCAAGTTGGAGAGAGCCACGAAAGAAAAGAGTCTTGCAGAGAAGATCACCTCATCCATCACGTCAGGTCATGTCTCAGTTTTATAAGAGAAACAAGACGAGACAGAAAAAGCGGTGCAGAGAAGGGAATAAATTAGGCACAGCAGCTAATATGCAGCTAATTCAAAACCCAAGTGCCAGACCTAAAATTGGAGTTTGATGGCAGACAAACAAGTGATGCGACGAGCAAGGATAGGGTGGTTTGAGGGACGATCAATTAAAGATGCGTCCCGCTTCCAGTGAGTGTCTAGGGGAGGAAAGAAAACCCAGGGCCTTGAGCCCTAGATGACAAAAAGACTTAGGTAGTTTTATGCAAATACACGACATATTTTAGTGAGTTTATTTTGACACCCTATATCAAGGTCTGGTATTTTCTTGCTCCCTGAGGAGTGTGTTGTCATGAACCGCCGTCACCGTACGAGCCTGAGCTTTCAGGGAATAAACGACCCCACATTCTAGGTCCTGGGAGACGATGGTAGGCTGATACCGCCTGTAAGTGGGCGCCTAGGTATTATCAGTTCCTGTACAACTCATCCATCTCGTCACTTGACGCCCGACTTGCTACCTACCTACTAACTTAGGTAGGTGCTCGGTTCGAGCAGAGTAATATTGGTCGAATATCTAGGAAATGAGCAGAACCCTTCTTTCGATGTAATAGGGTGAGTCTGACACTGGCGGTAAATTAGACAAAGATGCGATCGACTGGATATATCTCTCACTGACCCGTCCAAGATAATAAGTCTTATTCAGAACATCCAAATCCATGTTCAACCGATCGGAGGATTGGATGGATGATAGAGTGGCGCGACTAATACCATGGCAACTCCCAACATTTGAATACGCTTATATTGGTGCCATCAAAGGTTTGGAAACCCCAATACAGTTTGTAAGGAACCTATGAGGGGTATCAATAATGTTACTGTCCTTTGACGCTGAACGGCAACCGTTGCGCCAAGCAGAACCCCTGGCTCCAATCCAGAAATTTGGGACATCCAAGTTGATTCATCGAAAAGCGCGCATAGTGAAATACTAGCGACAGAAGACCAGCCTGTATAATGGCTAAATGCCCCCAATTTCTAAGTCACATCCAATCCAATGGTTGGTAGTTACCTATCATTTAGCCCTTCAATTCTGGAACCCTGGCCGTTGCAATGGATGGCGTTTTCCCCAGTTTACCCCACACTACCTAATCGTCTGCAGCTGCGCCTGCGGCTTCCGAGTCCGTTGATCCAACCCCAATCCTCCCTCTCATCTCAACCAGTCCTCGGCTATATTCTCCCAGCCTCACAAGTCAACCTCTTCTACTTACTGCGGTACCCACGGGTTGATCGATCGCTAGAGATAGGACTCGCCGAGTGTTGCTATCCCAAGGCCATTCCCTCGCTCTCCAGTGACGTATAGCACCTTTCAATTCCGAACGTCGACTGCTGTGTCTCTCGCCATTCAATCTCCGCCTCCGCCTCCGCCTCCATCCAGTAGCTACTAAACATCGCGATACCTTCATTCGATCTGTCAATTGTAGAGCTCATTGGAAATATACAAGCATTTTTTGTAAACCGCCATCATGTTGTACGTCCATTCCCTCCCCTCATGCGCCGGCGTTTGCGCATCAGCTGCTCTACGCCCGACACAAACTGACACAACGGAATTCCAGTGTGCTACCTCCCCCGCCACGATATCCCACCATGGGGCCTTATGGCGCCGGTGGTATACACCCTGTTCCCATGATAGAGACAAACAATACGTTATCTAATCCGACGGGTCCCGAATGGCAATTCCTGGTTGGAGAAGGTAGACAACCACGCTCTATACTCTCGCTGTATCTCGACTTACGTATAGAAACCCACCAGGCACGTATACACTTAAAGAAGACTTACATCTTGCGACACCTCCGCCCCATCCTTCCGAAGCCACCGTCCCGAACCCGAACCCGCTATCGACTCTTCCGCAGCCTGCCAGCGCCGGTACCTCAGTCTCTCTCATCGCGCTTGAGAGTCGTCCGGCTCCAAACTTTCTGTATAGAGGACTCTCTTCGACCACCCTCGCCCTGAGTGGCGCACCATCTAGTATTCAGGAGCATCCCAACGAGGGCCGCTACTCCGCTGAAGGTGGCAAGACGAGTGAGGAGGGCCGTACCGGTTCGACGAGTGATGCTCAGGCTACCTCCATTACCATTGGTTCTGCACCTGCCTTTGGCGAAGGCAATGCTTTGCTTACCCAGGTGCCGACCAAGGATGTGAACAAGAAGAGAAAGCCCAAGAACAACATGACAAAGAGCAACTCGTCTTTCATCTCTCGCGTTATTGTTAACGAAAGCCTGTCTAAGAAACTTACGGAGCGATCCAATGATGGCCTCTTTGCTTTTGCAAATATCAACCGCGCCTTTCAGTGGCTTGATATGTCGTCGTCGTCAAAGGTTCGTATCGCTACGTATCGAGGCCATCCTCGGACATCCTGACTGACATCACGAGCAGCAAGACTATTTGACCAAGATTCTTTTCACGAAAGCGCATTGTCTATGCCACGATGTTAATGTGCATACCAAGAGTGTCTCGCATCTGGATGTTATAATGGGCTTCTCAACTGGAGAGGTTATCTGGTGGGAGCCGATCTCACAGCGATACACACGACTGAACAAAAATGTAGGATAGTGCTCAGGATCTAGTATTCGACAAGCACCCCGCTGACGCCATATCTTAGGGTGCAATTAATGGAACACCAGTTGCGGCAATTCGATGGATTCCAGGATCAGAAAACCTATTTCTAGCTGCCCATATGGATGGGTCGCTGGTCGTATATGACAAGGAAAAAGAGGATGCTCAGTTCAACCCCGAAGAGGAAGCGATTAATGGAAACGTGAATGGGACGAGTGGTGAGTCGTTAGATGCCAGCAATGGCGGAGCTCATCACAATTCTATTCGAATCAACAAGTCAGTGCACTCCAAAAATCAAAAGGTCAATCCAGTTGCCGCCTGGAAATTATCCAACCATCGAATCAACGCCTTCTCCTTCTCGCCTGATAACCGACACTTGGCTGTCGTGTCAGAGGACGGCACGCTAAGAATTATTGACTATTTGAAGGAAGAGTGAGTTGAAGTTCCTGGCACCTTATCTTGTTGAGAAGCTTATCTGACTGGGCTGCAAGGCTACTCGATGTGTTCTATTCCTATTATGGAGGACTAACATGCGTTTGTTGGTCCCCAGATGGCCAATACGTATTGACTGGCGGACAAGACGACCTGATATCAATATGGTCACTGTCGGACTCGGCTCTGGTAGCTAGATGCCAGGGACACCAGTCTTGGGTATCAGCCGTTGCCTTTGACCCTTGGAGATGCGATGAGCGAAACTATCGTTTCGGTAGCGTGGGAGAAGACGGGCGCCTTTGTCTGTGGGACTTCAGTGTCGGCATGCTTCACCGACCCAAAGCGGTATGTGCTAACACCAACATCTACAATGGCGGGAGATGTGACGCTCCACGACATTGCACTGTGATATCTTTATTCTACGCCACGCCTTTTACACAACTCGATCGCTAACAGTATCTTACCATTGTAGCAATCTGTACGACACCGTGGATCTGTCTCATCGCGCTATACGGCTTTGCAGCGGGCTGAGACAGCCACCACGTCCAACTCAAGGTTGCGATCGAACTCGAACCTAGATACCGAAGACGAGGAAATGGCTATCGCACACCCTGTGGAGCCGCGGGCCAGAATTCCTATGCTCCCTCCGGTACTTGTAAGTTTCAATGCGAGGGCTGATATGTGATAGCTTCAGGTTGTAAGGTTTGGTAAAGCTAACGGTGAGACAAACAGAACAAATCAATTGATACCCACCCAGTGTGTTGGCTGGATTTCACAGAGAACGCTATCATGACGAGCTGCAAGTCAGGTAAGCAACACCAAGCCAAGCTTCGAGTCAATCTTCCGGTCCGATTGGACTATTGAGATCAACGATCGCTTGTCTCTGGCATGCACATAACACAAGTGACAAGCTAACATGTGAATCTCCTAAAATAGGACATATGAGAACATGGCTGCGACCTGGATCGGAGCTCACGGCACAGACCAAGGGAGCAGAAGCCCCGGCAGCAACATCATGATAGACGGATATCCGTACATGCTGAGCGATAGAAGCCCTGATGGGCTTCGTAACAAGGGCGCTGGCGAATAGAGTTTCATGATGGGTTTGTTGGTCTCCTTGTTTTGTGATGAGCCTGTAAAGCGAGATCCAATAACTGCTATACGCAAGGGGAAGTGGTTGTTGTCATTTGAGTCATTGGTTGATTTCAGGGTTTGATAGTTTGAATCTGATGTAGGTGTACGGATACTGAGACCGGAAATCCACCTCGGATCTTGTTTTTGACTGCAAGTTTTTAGCCCAGGATCCAAGGTCAACAAATTATGTGCCCTTGGCAGCTATGGACTGGCTTGGGCACCGGCCGGGATAGATAGTCAAAGAGTCATATAGCTGTTGGGAAACCGTTTTGGGCTGTCTTGCAGGAGTAATGAGTCGGTCCTATCAATCAGACGTCTCCGTCAAGCCCACATGGTGATGGAGGCTCTTCGGTGATACAACGAGTTGCCGTGTTTGAGGTCCACAATGGCTGCAGGACCCTGATTTCAGATGTTGGATTTTTTTTCATCCCTCCGAGAGATACCAGTGGATCTTCAGACACTAGACTAGCGCACGTAACGATTACATACATCCAATTGCTGCACGTTTCTAGATAAGCAGGAGGCTGAGAAATCTCTCTCGTGTCAGTGAGAGTTGTCAGATTTGCGAGAATGACGAGAGATTGCATTGTGCTGAAGCAACCGAGTGTCCATTCCATAAGAGACAACGTTGAGTGACGCGCACGCAGTTGCGTAACCATGATAATGCGAAATAGTGCCATCTCATGTTATCAGATCTTGATTTTTTGATCTCAGTCGATCTTCAACAATTTCCAACCTGAGGAACCAATCGAGTACTTGTACAAATTGTGCACGCACACTAATGCGAGCTTATTGCACGCCCGTTGCTCCTCTACCGAGTCGATGGCGCCCGTGCATCAAAGCAAGGACCAGGTCTGGTGAGAGCGCAACTTGAACCTCAAACGCCGAGGGTTGAATCGCTCACTAGCAATTGTAATAGCTGGTTATCGCGTTTCGATGTGGCTGGCTGGACTAGGGACAAGCATTGAAAATCATCCTTGCAAATCGGGAAAAGGGAGGGGGGCTACTCAGCCCACTAACACGGCCGTTGCCGAACCAAACCTGATGGACAAGGGCCAGCCAGGACAGACCATCATGTGGTGGCTGGCTCGCCTGATGGCGTGTGGTCAACATTGGACACCAGCAACAGAGCAGGGAGGTGCACATATTAGCCGATGATATCTGTGTATCAAGGGTCATGAAGTCACAGTACTCCAAGAGACTTCAGTTAGTTATTGCCGGAACTAGTTATGGAGCATGTATCATGAACTTCTTGCGTTGTCATGAGTTTCTCATGAGAGGTCATGATGAGATTTGCTGGATGTTGCTTTGGCTACCTGATTGATCTTTGAACTTGCCGCAAGGTGACTCGTTGGATAGCAAGGAATCATTGCTTGGGCACTTAGGCAGTAGGTTGATTGGCTCGGGAAACAAATTGTACATCTGTGTCGTGTCTGATGGGTGGTTTGGCGTCTGTCGGTCTTGAATTTCCGGGCCCTGTCTGCAACAAATCAACCAACCAAAAGCTGAGCTGGAAAACTTTTGCGCCTGGCATGGTGATCACAGAGCTTGCGTACTTTACAAGGCTGATTGCTACTATCCATATTACGGGTCCGGTACGGTACTTGGGGCTCCCGACTCAAAGGCCCAATTTTCGAGAATAAAAACCGCAACAAAGGACCCCGTCGAATGTTTCCGATAGGCTTTAGCGAAAATGTGTTGTTTTGGAGCCTTGAAACCCTATGTGATATGCCATGACATAAGAGGTAACCCGAGCTGCCGAGGTGTAATTACCTGAGGCGGTATTCTCGATGGCAAGCCGATACAGAGCCGTTGTATCTCCGGAACGTGCATATCGACGCCGAAATCTGGAAACGAGTTCCCTTGATGAGATAAAGTTTGAGTACCTGAGGCTGAACTGATGTGGCACCGCCACGGGCAAAGTGGTTAGCCCAAAGAGACAAAACCCAACTCATGAGTGGTCCTAATGAGCTAGATCAGCTTGGCTCGTCTCCATTGAACAAGCGCCCGTCGACGGCCCCCTATACCCGTTGATAAAGCACCGAGACGACGGGTCACCGACAAGAAGAAGGCTAGCTCATTAGGCGCGACATGGATGCCGTCAAAGTGTAGTGCCTAGAGTGCATAATGCAGTCAGACAGCCAGGTTAAGCTGCTTGACTGGAAGACACTGTCAACGGTGTCTGTAACCGCACTTGTACAAAGCGAGTTCGTATTTGTTCCCGGTCCCAGTAACCGATAGTCAGCAAGGACTGTCAAGAGGATGGACCCTCACCATATGCATACATAGTTCAGACTGTTCTCGTTCGCCCGGCTAAAGGCGAGTCTGGAGTCTGCCTCCCCTGGCGTGATCGTTGTGATCTAGATAGAATCACCATATGTATTCGACATGTTTACCCCAATAGTTCTGGGTAGAAATTAACCTCGAAGAGATTCCGGGACAGGGGCCATTCGGTTCAAAGTCTGGGGCGTCCCAATCCAGACCTGACTATTGTGAGCTTTCAGATGCTCAGTCCATCTCGGTTGGGTATCATAATTTACTGGAGGCAGAAGGGTGTCATAGGAGCGGTCTCGTGCCGTGCCCCCCAATTCTAGAACTGCATGTTCCGTATATGTCCAGTGCATGTGCCAGTCATTGTGCTATGGCTGAGAATCATATGATAAGTAGCAATTACTGCTGTGCATGCGAAAGATCACCAGAATCGCAAGTAAGTTTCATCAAACAGCTTGCATGGCGACAAAGGCGTCAGTTCAGTGCCCATGATGGGATAATGTGACAAATATGGTTGGCTGAGCGCCTCGTGTAGTGATAAGCAACGACCCGATAGCGAATATTCATTCAACCACGACAGAAAACATCCCGTGCTATGACCGAGCGCCACAATAACGTGCCTGGCGGGTTATGTACTTATCCTGCCTGAGAAAACGACTAGAGATTAGCGGAGCCGCAAGAAGGATAGACAAGAGAGTTTCGAGATCGCAAGCCATTGCCCAACTCGATGCATTCCTGGCATGACTCCCAAGCCTTTGATCCCGCCGTTTGCAGAACTTATTCTTGTCCTTGAATCAGGGTCGAACAGCTCGAAGGATGAACCAAGGAGTAGTTAGTCCTGCAAATCTGGGTTTGGTATCGAATGGTATTGGGGGTTTCAGCGTGGGGGTCGTAGAGGCTGTCGGTACCTTAGTAGGTCACCTCGATGCCCGGTCTTCGATGAGGTACGTACAGTACATTTGAGCCCCTTCCACGATAATAGACCGGCTTTAATGTCTCTGACTCGAGGCATCGATCGTGACATCCATTGACTGGTGATGTTGGAAAGAGATAATGGACTTACTCATTCTCAGGGATAACGACACCTGCTATGTATAGGTAGGTACTAAGTAATTGAGTTAAAGCGACTGTCACGGTTTTGTCGTGAGCTGAATTGGCTGTGCCTCCTGGTTCGTATCCTAATTGGACCTAGAAGCCCAATACCTACATGCATAGAAGGTGCTCAATGATGACACCATTTGGCAGGTGCGCATGCTTACCCTGCCGTGGCCAACACAAAGTTTTCTTAGGGGGCCATACCAATTAATGATTTTCTGAAATGAAGCAATTCCAATCATCGTCACGTTTTTAATGGAGATGCTCAGGTACTTGCGGATATTTATCTATCTACCACCGTCATCAATTCTCGGCGTTACGACGCCACGCAGCACAGACGCTCGGCACAGCGTTGACAAACCTGCAGGGCAAAAAGCTTCCATCAGGCTTCGATAGCACGAATCGTCCCGACTCATGCAACAAACCAGTCTCAAGCACTTCGGCGGCGTCTCCGCCCCACTATACCTTGTCCGTTACAGGGCCTCAAACGTCTTGGCCTTGCTCAGCATCGTTGTTGAGTGAGTGTCTTGCGTGCTCTGGCCTAACCACAGTGGTTCTCGCTAGTAAGACAAACGAGGCCGAGACAATTTACAACAAGCAGCCTGGTCTTTTAGGGCCCTCTTATCGGCGATGAAAGACCGCGATACATTACCTATCTCAAATTTGATGTCCAAGGCGGCTTGTTGACGTTTCGTCGTTTCCCGTTTCCTCCGGCCCGCCAACATCCGACGCCCGCTCACCATCGCAACCTTCCGGCACGTACGATGTACGAAGAGATGATACATGACACTTGCAGCCAGATCAGCAGGGCAGACCTGTCCTGTACCGTAATTACCGTTACAGCACAGCTCCTTTGCTGCGTCAACCGCGCCATGTCGGCTTTGTGTACGGTAACTGTGCTGAAGCTGTCGGCAGGGCAGAACAGGCCTTGTTATCAGTTATCACTACCTCAAAGAGGCTTGGACCATGCCCTAAACGACGGCATTGCAGGGGTCGTATCACTGAACGGAGTGATTGCTTGATCTGCCTGGGTCCAGTCTGTTCCTGTCTCTGGGAGAGGATATCCGGCTGGTCATGATCAAAGTCAGAGAGATGCATACATCGAATGTCATGCTCATCTTTTCTATTCTTTCTAACTCCTTTTCCTTTTCCCATGATCGTTTTTCAGGATTCTCACGCATTTCAAGCTCCACACCCCTACGACTGTAAAAGAAGGATCATTGTCGCCCCCGATTTCTGCTGTCCCATCTAACTTGTTCCGTCTCCTTGTTGCCCGCCGCCTCTCCATCATACCCATATCTTTTTTCATACAAGCCAGGTTCATCTGAATGAGAAATCTTTAGTGAGACCGACACGGTGGGCGTCTTATCAGAACAGGACCCTCTTTTTCAACTTTTACATATCGCATCAAATCGCAATCCTGACTCCACCAAACGCCGCGCCGCTTGATCTGCTCTGCTTCGCGCTATCGTCTTGTCGCCTCCCATTGAATGGAACTTCCACACTCAACCCTTGTTTAACCTGACCCTCGTGGGTTTGGACTTTTCCTGATCTCACAGCCCCACTCAACTTTTCTAGAGGCTGTACCGTATCCACACATCCCGCCAACTCGTGCGTGGCTTGCGCTGTTGTAGCTCGTCACCTTGCGCATTCGCTCGACTTAACTTAGCCGTGATCCTAAATAAAAGCGTTCCGTCTCCTCCAATTTATTCTTCTTTTCCTTCTAGTTCCCCTTCTTGGCATATCATCAGTCAATTCCCCATCCTGCCCCCCCCCCTCCCATGCTGCTTTGCAGCAAATCACAACCACTTATACGACACAATACGTTATCATGCCGTCCTTTAAGCCCTTCGCTTCAGTGACGGGGCGTAACTCATATAGTCTTTTCGATATTCGGTATGATGATCCTCAACTAACTTGACTCATACTACTTACTAACTGCGCCTATTGTTCAGCCTAGACAGCGATTTTATTGTCTTCCGTGGAAGTGACCACGAATCATCTGGTCAAGTTCTCAAAGGCACATTAGTCTTGTGTCTACAAACATCCCTGAAAATCGAAGATGTTAGACTGCGACTCGTAGGAACTCTGCGCCATACGTAAGTTCTATGACTCGACTTGAAGGCCAACTTCTCTAGAGGACAGCAACTGACTTTCTGCAGCTGGGCTGATCCTAGAGGAAGCGCTCCCGGTGTTTCGGGCCAAAAGGTTGACAAGACGCAAACGATACTCGAGCACCGATGGGCGCCTTTTGTCGGCACGCACGGCAAGAGCATGACGCTCCCCGCCGGGAACTACGAATGGCCGTTCGAATACATGCTTCCCGGCAACATGGCTGAGAGTGTCGAGGGCATTCCCGAAGCATCTATCACATACAGACTCAGGGCAACCGTCGGACGCGGAAAACTTGCATACGATCTGCACGCCAACAAACACCTTCGAATCATCCGAACATTAGAGCCAGGCGCCCTGGAATTCCTCCATGCCATGAGTGTTGAGAACATCTGGCCCAACAAGGTTGACTACTCAATCATCATCCCCCAAAAGGCCGTAGTGTTTGGCGGCTTGGTCACAATGGAGATGCGATTCACACCCTTACTCAAAGGGCTCGAGCTGGGCGATATCACGGCACGGTTGATGGAAGTTCGCGAGTGCTATGTCCAAGGATCTGGCTCAGGTTATGGTACTAAGGAGCACCGAACAGAGCGTGAGGTCTCGATGTGGAAGTTCCAGGTTTCGAGAGAAGAGCACTGGCAAGATATGATTGAGGATACTGGCCAAGAAGGCTGGGCGGTCACCAAAAAGCTTAACCTACCCAAGAGACTTCGCCAGTGCGTTCAAGATCTGAACCATCACGGTATTAAGGTCCGTCACAAAATTAAGCTGACCGTTGCGCTTTGCAATCCCGATGGTCATATTTCTGAGGTAAGATGATGTTCGGATGCATAATGATTTCTGGTACACTAACATTTCTCGCAGCTTCGAGCAACACTTCCTGTATCAATTTTTATCTCACCCAACATGCCTCTCGACGAGGAGGGTAATCTCGTTGATCAGTCACCAACCACACCCAACAACGAGCGAGAACTTTCGACGATTGCTCCCCCCGGATATGGAGAGCATGTTCTTGATCAGTTGTATGAGGACGTTGACGTTAGCGGTTTCCAGACGCCCGGCTTTCAGTCAGGCGTCAGCAGTCCCTTCTATGCACAGTCACGAGCAGGCTCGAATGAAAACCTCGCAGCGCTTGCCCACAGCCTACCTGTCGCACCCGCTGCACTGTCATCTCGATTGGCCGATGTATCGCTGGACCCTTCTCGAAGAACGACATCTTCCACGTCTTTGGGCTCGCTAGGCACGCCTGGTTTCATGTCCCCCACGTCTGCACCCCAAGGCCCAGCTCCGAGATCGGAACCTGCGACCGCAGCACTCACCAGAAGCAACAGTTCCGAAGACTCATCACGCAACTCTGCTGAACACATCGATCTCGATGTCTCCGATTTGACTGAACTCAACAAGGTCCCTAGCTATCAGACAGCTGTCAAAACCCCAGCTCGCTCGCGTGCTGGTACTGGGGACCTGCTTCTGCCAGATTATCAGACGGCACTCAGCGCTCCCAGGACACCCCCTGCTACGGATTACCCAGCAGATCCTCTGGGCACGATATCCGAGGACCAGGACGGTGAGGATCATACTCTGCATATATCGCGCCCTTCCAGTTGGATTGGTAATGGCCGCGCTTACACGGATGATGCTTCAACCTACCGAAGGATGCATCCCTCGCAGAACCGTAATCAAGTTGTCTAGATGGGCGGCTTGACTCATCTTTTGTTTCTTTGTTTTGGCATGACCATCACTTGATTGGATATGTTTCATAAGCCTCGTAGGGCTTGCCGGCGTTTATGTGTCATCAATTACGTGTGGCTTCGAATCATGGGAATTATAGACAAGGCGTACTTTTGGTGACGAGCTCTTTGCTCGGATGATATCTGCACAATACTGGGCCCAGAACAATGCATAGGGAAAACGACGGATGAAGGATGACACATGTATAATTAATACCCTTGAAGGATATGATAGCAAAGAAGAATGATGAACAATGTGTTCAAGGCATATTCAGACTGGCTAATGACCAGTGAATCCCTTACCATGAAGTTGATATGGAATTGCAGAAACTGATATCTTGAGATGGTGAATGGTTACTATTTGTCGACAATGACATAGGGGGGGGCGCTTGCGACTTGGTGGCGAGTGAACGAAATTCTTCGGTACTCGGTGACATCCGAGCAAAAGCTTGTTGGACTGTTTAGTGCGTAGGATTAGCTCGATCTACCGGCGATGGTGGTGGTGTGTCGGCGCAACTGTATCGAGAGGGATTGGAGGAACTTATATGGGTTTGGTGAAGAAGAGGGAGTTTTGGTGATGGGGACTTGCTGAGGACAATTTGTGCCTATAGGAGGTTCTATTTCGTACTTGATAGAATTGATTTCCAGGAAAGTCAAATAGTAGCAGTATTATGATCAAGATATTGATATCTCGAGAGAGGGAGCCGAGGCCAAGCATTGAGATGGACATACGATTTGTTGCATCTATACCAAGCTTGTGCTAGTCGTGGTGTCGGTGCGACACAAGCTCAAGGGACCGCGTCCAGAGTTTGCGGTAGTTGAAGGGCGATTGACGTCATAAGCTGAGATATCAACGAGGGTCTGGTGATGGTTCAACTTGGTGTTCATGGTAATCTCGACCTACTGTGACTGTGGGGGCTCAGGGGATAGATTGACTTGCCGCTAGTGATTGGATTGCCGGAGGTTTGATATACATAGAGTGATCAGCTTGAAGAAAAGGAGAATGAGCATCTGCTACGGTTAGTGCTGGTGGTGATCCTTGGATAGCTGAAACTGGGACTTTTGAGGGTATACAGAGTGTAAGTATTGCATGATCTGTTGTAGCATGTACCACTTGAAGGACTCAGCTACCTTACGCTACGGAGTACATCAAGAGGACATACTTTTGAGGCTTCAAATTGGCATTCTAATGTTTGAGCTCTTTAAAACAGGATATCGAAGGGGCTAACTCGTACTAAAATACATTTCGGTCGTGCCTACCTATTCTCACAGACTTAGCACGGTAGACCACCTACCTATATTCTACCTGCCTA